TGGGAAATTCAATATAAATATATATATGAACAATCAAATGTTTTCTCGCATATCAATTCGTGATTGGCAAGAAATCGAATGAAGTTTCATTATTTGTTGATTGTCAGTATTTTCTTAGTCGATTTTAATCAAGTAAATACAAATTGAATCGAGATTTTAATTCAATCAATTTGTTTTAGGCATCAAAATGGGAACAATGTCGATTACCTCGTCGAAATTCATGTACTGAATCAACACCAACTTCAACAAAACTAGAAGGCTTAGGTGTTTATTATGAAAAACCTTGTCATGGAGCAGGATGTGGATTTTTTCGACCATATTGTCGTCTTTGTTGGATCGATCCTTATGCACCTGGAAGATTGGATCGTCCACAATGTCCAAAATGTGTTTCGGAACATTTCGAAGGAAAAAATTCAGCAAATTCTCTATGTCATTTACCTCGTGGACGATCGTGTACAAGTTTAACACCAACTTCAACAAAATTAGAAGGTTTAGGTGTTTATTATGAAAAACCTTGTCATGGAGCAGGATGTGGATTTTTTCAACCATATTGTCGTCTTTGTTGGATCGATCCTGAGGCACCTGGGAAAATGGATCGACCAGAATGTCCACCATGTGTTGCACAGATTTTAAATGAAAATTAACAAAAATTATTTGCAGTTTCATTTTCTTGATATAAAACAGATTTTTTTTTCACGTATACTCCAAAATTTATTTTACACAAGAATAAATTCTCTTGTTCAGAAAAGGAAAGAAAAACAAATTACGAATCTTGTTGATTTAAAACAGTTTGAACACATGGAGGACATTGAAGTCGATCCATTCTTCCAGGCGCTTTTGAATCGACCCAACAGAGACGACAAAACGGTTTTAAAAATCCACACCCAACTCCGTAACATGGTTTCTCATAATAAACTCCCAAACCTTCTAATTTTGTATTTGATGGAGTATCACTTGTACATGATCGTCCAAGAGGTAATTCACATCGAGAATCATTCGTAGAAGATGACGTCATGCTGATTGTTGTCGTTGTTGTTTTTGAGGGTATTGTAGAGACTTTCGATGAAGAATAATAACGTTTGAAACCAATAACTGATAATAGAATGATAAGAAAGAAAATGATTAACATGAATAACCAAATAAGACGTTGTGATTTGAAATAAATTAATGGGAATATATTTGGATGAAATTTAGAAGATTCTTCCTTTTCGATTAATGGTTTTATTACATGATTTTCAATTGTAACTTCTGTGTGATTTATTGAAGATATTTTGTCTTCTTCATCTTCTAAACATTTCTCAATAAGAGCGAAGGATTTATTTTCATTGCTGTTGCTATTCGAATAATGGTTTGTAGATGAACGTGAGATTTGATTTTTTTCAAGTTCTACATAAAAGACAAAATCGAAGTTTTTCTTGACAAATATTCGTTTGAACAAACTTTTTAAACTTTTCACAGCTTGATAACATTTTATTCTTTGAAAAGCATCGATTAAATAGGAAAAATCTTCTTCGGAGATTTTTCCTCGATCCACAAGTTGTTGAATACTATCTAAAGCTCCTCCAATGGTTGGATCATCACAAATACGACGATCAATATCATCAAGTAACAAAAATGAAAGTTTTTTTCGTTCAACCGAACTTAAATGATCCAAAACTTCGATTATAACTTGACGAAAATGAATTTTTGATTCTTCCATCTAAAACAAAACGAATTTTTATAAATCATCATTTCTAAAGTAATCGATGATCAAATGTTTTTATTGTTCGATAACCTTTTCATTCTTTATTGTTCTTATCATCCAATAAACAACAAACTTTACTTATCTTTCACCTTTACATTATCTTACGTCATTTATTGAAATGAGGGAAAGACTCAATTTTCCCACATGTTTTTTAATAGAAGTTATAATCAGCAAGTAAAGAAAGAAATAATGTAACATAGCGTTGTCTTTGTTTCAAAGAACTATCTCTTTCTATTCTCATATAATGAGATCAGATATCGAATGATGGGATGATCCCATAATCTTCGGAAATTTCTCATTTCGTCAACAAAATTGATTATGAGAAATGTTTTTAAATAAGAGTAAATGTTTTCTTCTATGNAAAACGTTAGACCTTTATTGAGATCTATTTCTTATATATTAATGATCCTACGAGGGCTTCTCGTGTCGATAAGTTTTTTTAAACGACAGATGCACCCTCAGAGTTAAAAAGTGTGATTTCTAATGCTATCGATGATGCTCTACAACGTGCGTATATTGGTTTTGTCAAATTGAATATATCGATTTTCCTCACGCTGGTGGACCGTTACGTGGACAGGTCGTGCTAATGATAGTGTCCATTGATTCTTTTCACCAAGAGCTACTTTGTACAAACGTTGTTCAGTTCGTAAATCATCATAATTCACATTGTAAAATTTAACAATTTGTGTTAATTCAGCATCGTCCAAAAACACATTCGTTAAAAACAATTTTTCACACAAGATGACTATATGAATATTGTTTTTATCAAATCTCTGTTTGATTGATGATATGATTACATCTACTACAGCATCAAACGAATAAATTCTATAACTATCTTTAACAGACAATGTAGTTGATAAAACATCACCACCACCGAAACGTGCAGGAACTTTCCTTTTTCGACGTTCACAAGGTTCATCAATATTTTTTGCATCACAAACACTCATAGCTTCACTCCATATTCTATTAAAGTCTTCTTCATTTTTCAACGATTTGAGTGAATCAATGGTGACATTTACCTGAACCATTGCTTGTGTCAAAGACACGTTAGATTTTTGTAAATATTTCGATAATATATTTGTAATAAGAAAAACTTTAATCATTAAATGGATATGAAAACCAAAATCAAATGTTTGTATAACTTTTAACATAATGAATGCATCACCAACATCAATTTCTTCTAAAGCGATAATTATTTCAGGATATCGTGTTAAGACAGCTTTTAAAGATTGAAAACGACATGCCCATCGTGTGTCAGATAATTTCTTCAATGGTGTAGGTGCTAAACCAACTTCTTTTTGAATATCTTCAAAGACTTTATGTCGTTTCACTGAACCTTCAATAAAATTATAAAGTGAAGACATAATACCAAAAGTATTTCTAACAGGTACCACAGCTTTTGCTACGTCAACCAAACACAAATTCAAAATATGTCCGTTACAATGTATGTAAATAGCAATTGGTACTAGCTCTGTTAAACGAACTGCAACACCTTTATAAATACCACTCATGGCACTAGCACCATCATAACACTGTCCAACTATATGATTAATATTCAAATCCATTTTTTTTAACCATTCCAATAGTAAATGAAATAAACCATCACCAGTTGTACTAGATGCTCGTTCAAAACCAATAAAACGTTCATAAACATGAAATTGATCATCAGTGTATCGTATGACTAATGAAACTTGTTCATGACGAGAAATATCAGATGTTTCGTCGATCATGATTGAAAAGTATTTGGCATCTTTTATCTCGAATATGATTTGAGATAATATATTCTCTTGTATTAAATTTAATATTTCATTTTGTATTGAATGGTGTGTATATTTCAAAGATTTTAATTTACTTTTAATCAATTCATTTTCAATACTTCTTAGTTCAAGAAGTTCAAGAAGATTACCTAAAAAATTAAGAGTATGATTAGTGGGACATAAAGCTTTACAAAAATCTATATGATTTAGTTTTAGAAAAGAAGCAGAACTTTTAGTATAGCTTATCTTACCTTTATTTTCAGATTGATCATTCTCGCGATGACCTCGAAACGCTAAACCTTGTTTAGCGAGAAATAAAATGCTTCGAATTATTTCTTTCAAATACATTCGATTTTCCAAATTTTGTTTTTCATGTTGTTTATCGAGTTGTTTTAAAACATCATCATTACTTCTGTAATTTTTACATGCATTAATCCATAATTCGTTTGCATACTTATGTGATGATGATGCCTGATGTTTATTAAATTTGGATATGGCCATTTTCCAGTTATCATATCCATCAATAGTAAATGCTTTTTCAAATCGACTTTCTGAATAACCAAAACGACAGACAAAACAATATGATTTTTTCGTCATTTCACTAAATTCCAACCAAGGATAAAGTTGATACCAAGCTCGACAAAAATGACGATGATTATCTGTTGGAAATTTAATGTTTGGTTGATATGCTCCTAATAATACAAATTCTTTAGCTGCCGATGGACCTCGACCAGGATCTCGTTTATATGAATCAGTTTTTAAATTAAATGATGGTCCATAATTATCAATTGTTGTTACTGTTGCTGAATTTTCAGTGGTCGGACTTTCACATCTTTCACTTTGATTTTTAGGCATAGATATCGTTGATGAGCTTTGTGGAAATTCATCATCTTCGTTTAATGTTTCTGATTCATTCAAATTTACAATATTTGGATTAACAATTGTTGTATCATATATATCACACGACTGTTGTAATGGAATTTCTGATTTTCTTGCAAAATAGTATGAAAGTTTACTTCTATCAGACATTTATCAAATATGGTTGAACTAAACTATAACAATAAAGTAATAAAAGGTTGAACAAAATTGAATGAATAATGGAAATCGATTCAGATTCTCTCTATAATACGGAAAAGCAAACGATTGGTCACTATTTTTCTTAAATCAAATTGATGTTCTGAATATTTTTTTTCGTTAAAATAGATGTCAGACGTAGACGATTTAAGATGGCTTCAAGAGGACAAAAAAGAGAATTCTAACAAGTGTGATATATTCTGTAAAAAACTATCAAAAGATGCAAATATTAGGAGAGGCAATATCTTTTTATTGCCTCCCCAGATTTTCCTTAGGGGAGGCAATTGCCTCCTCTCGCCTCTATGGTGCGCCGCCAATGCATCGACCCTATCTCACATGTCCTCACTCTCTCAACCAACTTTCAGTGTCAAAACACTCTTCGAAACCATGTTTTATGAAGTTTTGAACATTTTCAAAAAAAATGTAATTTGACCTTTGACCTGCGACAGACATACTCACAAACGAATTTCGATTTTTGGACTGCTTTTCTCGACGTGACCCTCCTTACAGTCGAGGAAATGAAACAATTCTCTGTGCACGTATTGTAGATTGGTATCGCGATTATGTAAGAGATTATGCGAGCATATGTGCTTTCAGTTGGACGTGNTATTCAAGGTGATTCGACTGATTTTATTTCAACCAAACATTTCCTTTTATATCCGTTCCCTCTGTTCTCTTTTCTTTTGAGCGCATCGGTCAAGAGAGAACAGGAAGAGAAAGAGACGGACAGAGAGAAACACGAAGAAGAGAAAAGAATCATTCGATGAAGATGAACTCGCTATGAGACGAGATACATAGATATAATGAACAGAAAGGAGAGGATGATAATATATACATGAGTCATCTATCTGTGTTTGATAGGTTAATTGATGAATACACAAATGTTGTCACACCCCCCGATCCAGATCAGACGCACTCCTGGGCGTCTTTTTTGAATTAGCGGATCAACATTTCGTGTATTGAGAGGGTGTCCTCGTTGATAAATTCCTACAGAAGGATTGAAAGAGGAGATACAGAAGAAAACAAACGTGTTAACAAGAATATGTGTTAAAGAAAGAAGAAACAAAAAAAAAAATGACACACATATGAGGTGGTTTAGAGAATGTCTTTTTGTTTGCCGGTCGATTGTTCATGTTGCTGGCATATTGATTAATTCTGTTAGTTTTTTCTTTTTCATGCTCCACATTAACCCTTTCCCCCATTTCTTTTCATAGATAATGTTTGTGATTGATGATTTACATATGTTTCTTTTGAATTCATCAAAGGAAGGTGTCATTGGTTTATCTCTTCCTTTCACCGATGGTATGTTAGTTGCTTGTTGATTATTGTTCAATGTATCTCATCGGCGCCCTGCGGTGTCGATTTGATACTCGTCTTTGTATTGTTGAATTTATATCAGATGACTGATCGATATTGTCTGTTGTATTTGAGATGGATGGATCATCTGATAATGGTTCATTGTTGTTCGCTGTTATTGTTGATTGATCGTTTGTATTATCTGTTCTTGGTTGGGCGTATGGCTTTAATCGATCAATATTCGTAGCTCCCAAATTTACATTATCGCTCAAGCGGTGAACCGTAAATGTGACGGGTGTCAGTTTCTTTATCAATTGACACGGTCCTTGATAATGTGGTAGTAATTTTCCATTGATTTGATTGTCACCAGCTTGTTTTATTGGAATTTCTACCCATACGAGATCACCTTCTGAATATTGTCGTTGGGATGTATGTCGGTCATAATTTATCTTTTGTTTTGTTTTTTCTAATTCTGAATGTTCTTTGATTAGATTGTATGCGCTTCGCAATTGATTGATTAAATATTTTTTATACTCTTGGATTTGCTCTTGTTCATTAGTTGTTGGTGGCGGTCCTTGTATTGGTTCACTTAATATTGATTCTAAAGGACCTCTAAGGTCTCGGCCGAACATCATAAAAGCAGGAGTTTCACCTGTTGTTTCATTTCTTGTAGTTCGGATAGCGAATGCTATCTTTGAATTTCTTTATCCCATGCTTGTGGTTGTTGTTGAGCGTAAATGGCTATTAGCGGCTTTAATGTTCGATTCACACGTTCTGTCATATTGCTTTGAGGGTGATAATTAGCGGTTAGATTCTGTTGTATTCCAAGTGTTTCACAAAAATTTTGGAATAAGTTTGAAACGAATTGTG